GCCTCGGTTAGGGCGGACCGGGAACCGCCGGGACGGCCCCATAGACAGCTGCTGGGGGCCGGAGCACCTCCCGATGGGGACGGGCCGAGGGCCCCGGGGCTGTGTGGCCGAAGGAGAGAAGGCTGAGGGGTCTGAGCGGCGCTGACCCGCAGCTGAAGGGCCGGGATGGGGCCAAACACACGTGGGTGCTGTGAGCTGCTGCGGGTCGGGATGGCGAGGATCCAGGGGCCGCTTCCACAACCACGTTGTGGGATTCTGGCGCCTCGAGTGGTTTGTGTGCAGGTCTGGGCCACTCGGTACAGGAAATACACGGAGGCCCTGGAGTGTATCCAGAGACAGACAACAGAATTGGGCAGAGCCTGGAATGCAGTCCTAATGGGAATGGCTGAGGGAACTGGGATGGTTCAGTCTGAAGGAAGCCCCGAGAAGACCTCATAGCTCCCTACAGCTCCAGAAAGGAGGTTTAGAATCATAGAATCACAAGGTTGGAAACGACCTATAAGATCATCTAGTCCAACCGTCTCCTCATCACCATTGCCACCACAAGCACTAAACCATATCACGCGGCACGTCATCCAGATGCCTCTGGAACACTGCCAGGGATGGCGACTCCACCACCTCCCTGTGCAGCCATTCCAGTGCCTGACCACTCCCTGAGAGAAAAAGTTCTTCCTTATGTCCAACCTGAACCTCCTCTGATACAACTTGCAGCCATTGCCCCTTGTCCTGCTCATTGCCTAGGAGAAGAGGCCAAATCCCTCTTCACCACAGCCTCCCTTCAGGAGGTTGCAGAGTGCAGTGAGGTCTCCTCTGAGCCTCCTCCAGACAACAATCCCAACTCCCTCAGCCGCTCCTCATAAGACTTGTGCTCCAGACTCCTCACCAGTTTTGTTGCCCTTCTCTGCACACGCTCCAGCACCTCAACATCTTTCCTGTAGTGAGGAGCCCAAAACTGAACACAGCACTCGAGGTGCGGCCTCACCAGTGCTGAGTAGAGGGGCATGCTCACCTCCCTGCTCCTGCTGGCCACACCATTTCTAATGCAGGCCAGGATGCCCTTGGCCCTCTTGGCCACCCAGGCACACTGCTGGTTCAGGTTCAGCCGAACACCAACCAACACCCCCAGGTCCTTCTCTTCTCCACACTCATCCAGTCACTCATCCCCAAGCCCATAACGCTGCATGGGGTTGTTGTGGCCAAAGTGCAGCACCCGGCACTTGGCCTTGTTGAACCTCATCCCATTCACCTCGGCCCAGCGATTCAAATCCCTCTGAAGGGCCTCCTTACCCTCAGGCAGATCCACACCACCTCCCATCTTGGTGCTGGGAGGTGCATCTGCAAACTTACTGAGGGTGCACTCAATGCCCTCATCTAAGTCATCAATAAAGATATTAAACAGGATGGGCCCCAGTACTGACCCCTGGGGGACACCCTTCTAGCCAGTTCCTTACCCAAAGAAGGGTAGACCTGTCCAGGCCACGGGCAGCCAGTTTCCCCAGAAGAAGCCTGTGAGAGACCGTGCCAAAGGCTTTGCTGGAGTCTAGGAAGACTACTACATCAACAGCCCTTCCCTCATCTACCAGTCTGGTCACCCAGTCGTAGAAAGAGATGAGGTTTGTCAAGCACGACCTGCCTTTCACGAACCCGTGCTGGCTGGGCCTGATCCCCTGGACACTGCGCACATGCCGTGCAATCTCATCCAAGATGATTTGCTCCATAACCTTCCCTGGTACCGAGGGTCAGGCTCACAGGCCTATAGTTCCCTGGGTCCTCCTTGCGGCCTTTCTTGAAGATGGGAGTCACATCAGCAAGCCTCCAATCCTCTGGGACTTCACCAGTTAACCAGGAGTGCTGATAGATGGTGGAGGGGGGCTCAGCAATCACCCCTGCCAGCTCCTTCAGCACCCGAGGGTGCAGCCCCTCCGTCCCATGGACTTGTGACGGTCCAGATGGAGGACAAGCTCTCTGAGGTTGGAGCGAGGAAGGGTCAGCCTCTGCTCCCGGGTAACAGAGTCACAGAGTCACAGAATCACAGAATCACAGAATGGTTGGGTTGGAAGGGACCTCAAGGATCATGAAGCTCCAACCCCCCTGCCACAGGCAGGGCCACCAACCTCCACTTTTCATAGCAGCCCAGGCTGCCCAGGGCCCCATCCAACCTGGCCTTGAACACCTCCAGGGATGGACGGGGCATCCACAGCCTCTCTGGGGAGCCTCTAACAGCAATAGGGCGAGAGGTGATGGCTTCAGGTTGTACCAGGAGATGTTCACACTGGGTATGAGAAACAGTTCCTTCTCCAAAGAGCAGTCAGGCAGCGGCACAGCTGCCCATGGAGTGGTGGTCACCATCCCCGGGGCTGTCCCAGAGCTGTGGGGATGTGGCACTGAGGGACGTGGGCAGTGGGCATGGGGGGGTGGCTGAGTGGGGTTGGGTGGGGGGATCTCAAAGGTCTTTCTCCAACCTTAATGATTCTTTGATTCTATAATTTCCTGGGATTTCAGCTGTTGTTTTACTTCAGGACTGAGGCAGTTCCCAGCATATAGAGCTGGATAGCAGGGAGCAGCTCTGTGCTGTGTTAACATCATTTACCTACTGCAGGTCCTTCCCCACTACTAGACTGAGGTTCAGTCTGGATGGCCTGATCACTTGTGGACAGAGAGGACCTTTCCAATGCCTCTGATTTGTGGTAGGGCCACTGCATTCCTAATGCAGATGATTCATGAAAGAACTGCTAGAGCTCCTGCCCAGAGAAGTGCGCAGTCTCTGGGAGCCTACCTTCGTAAAAACAGGCAGTGCCTAATAGGTGTGCAGAGACAGGTTCACGCTTTTCATTCCTGGTTGTTCCCAGTGGCCCCAGTGGCATGGAGCTGGCTTCTGTGGCTACCTCTCAGTGATCTCTGCTACATCTCATCCTGGAGCTGCGGCTTCTCAGGATCCCTGCTGGTTTTATACCAGGGTTGGCAGAAGCACTAGTGAGCAGTTAGCCCAGTTTTTAACAAAGTGGAGGCCAGATTTCAACACTGCTGCCTCTGAGGATTAGTTAGCAGAGCCCATAGGGGAAGGGGCAGGAAACCTGCAGGACTGGGATAGAGGTTGTGTTTGAGCTTTGTGGCACAGGGCATGGCAGGCTTGGTTTACCCTACTGAGCATTTCCTTCTCAAAAGTTCTCCGATCTTTTAGCTTTGCAAAATAGCAGATCTTGAACTTTTAACAGTTAAATGAAGCGCTAGGCCTATGAGACTTGAAAGTGAGTTGCATGACCTACCGGTGGATTGCATTATTTCTGGAGGCATTTTGTATATCTTCTCTCTGATTACCCCTGTTGATTAGCCCCTTGTTCTGTGATAGCCAGGGCAGCCCTGACGGAGCATCTGCTGCGGTCTTTAAGAGCTCTCCATTTCTCATCCCATTTGCCACGTGCTGGGCTTCCAGGATCACAGCTGTCTGCCACAGTTGGCCGGTGTTGTTTTGCACACAGCAGTGATACGCCACGGTCCTCTCCTTTTCAAAGCTCCTGGCTGAACCCTTGGCTGCCCTGTACATTGCAGTGCGCTGAAGTCATGTTTCCACGAGTGCTTGGGATCTCCTTTTCCATGCTAGACCGAAGCACCAGCAGACCTATGGCTGTGTCCAAAACTTCGTTCCCACAGGGCTGTCTGTGCCCAGCTTGTATCCTCATGCAGGTGATGCCATGGATGCGGGATCCTGCTGACTGTAAGTCTCTGCTTTCCAGGCATCAGCCTCCAGCCATGCTTGTTGGCTGCCTCCCAGAAACTGTTTTTATTGCAGTTCTTTGTGCTCACTGCTTAGTCAATGTGCTTTACAGGCAGCAAGAGACGTGCTCTCTATCAGGCACAGAAAAACAACTTGCCGTGGGCATGAGCAATGGGCACAACTGCCCCCCACCACTGTCCCTGGGGTGTGCTCTGGCCTCCTGCTGGCAGCTAAATGTCAGCAACAGGTCCTTTCTGAGGGGCCACGGGAAACCAATCCCTCCCTATGGATCATATGTAACCACAGGAGCTAAACTGGAAGCTGCAATAGTTATGTATAGCTATCAGCTCTCTAGGTGGCATTTAAAGGCTGTAAGCAACTGCATGGGTTGGCTTTCAGAAGTTTTGCAAAGTCAGGGATATTTGGGCTGGAAGTAGTTTTAATCCTAGACAAATTAGGGGATGTGGTCCTGCCTTTTCCTTTGAAAAGGAAACGAGATCCCGAGGGACAGCTGAAATAAGTACTCCATAGACCTTCAGGTACAGAATTTGTGGGAATACCTCAATTGAACAGAAGGAACAGAACATGGGAAAGAAAAAAAAACGAACCCAGAAGATTATGGTTCTTTTAGGGACCAGGAAAGAAGGATTCGGGTGCAATTTGCAGTCCTGAAGGTTGTTGTCCACCTGGATGTGGCTGCATTGTCAGCACCCATTTATGGTACATTTTGATGGATTCAGAACAAGACGGGGTTTGGCTACAAAGTCTGTCCACATCTGCTTTTTAAGTGAGTGCATTCTGCACCTCAGAACTTCTATATTCATGAATTCTTCCAAGCCAACACTATTGTAAAAGGAGCCAAAATGACAGAGCTGTGCTTCTCTTCTCCTCACAGGGAAATCCTGGGAGTGAAACCTCTTGTAAAAGCAGCTGGGATGTTGTCTTGCTTACTGGTTGGTAAAAACTGGGCTTTGTAAAACAAAAGTGCAAGGTTTGTAGAAGGTAAAACAAAAAAACAACAACAACAAAAAAGAGGTGCTGTGTCTTGGTGTATCACGGAATTCCTTCAAGTCTGTGTTTTATTTTGTGTCAAAAATGTGATCAAAATAGATCAAAATTTTACCTCCCGAGCCTGTGTGCGTGTGCCTTGCTTGCTGGGACACCTGCCAGCCAGGAACTGGGGATGCCTGGAATCATGTGCTCAGCAGGTGTAAACTGCATGCAGGCACAGTTCACCTTCGGTCCTTGGCCCCAGAGGCAGTTCCTCTTCATTAGCGAGGGAAGATAAAGAAGATTATCGTCGCGACCTGACTGCATGCCAAAGTTATGTATCATAAGAGGAAAATCTGTTCATACATTCACAAATATGTTTTCTCCTGATCTGTCTGTAGGAAAATGTCTCCGTGAGGGGAGAGGGAGAGGCAGTAATCGCAGAGAAGCTGAAAGGAAGCGACAGGCAGAAGCAGGACCTCTGCTGAGATTTCGTCAAGCAGGATGCATGGTAGGTCCCACGGCGGGGAAATAGAAGCAGAGTCACAGCTGGGATTGAACGTGGAGCAGCGCTGCCATCGCTGGCTGTGGTGTCAGCTATCACTCAGAACTACCTGTGTGTTGCCTCTCACCAGATCTGCCATTTGCCACCTGAACCAGGGCTGTGCTGCTGCACTGCTGGTGTTCAAATGTTTCTCCCCTCGCACCCAGCGGATAAAAGCTCTGCTGTCTCTGTGTATCTGTATGTGTGTCTGGAAAGAGGAAGAGGCTCATTTTTTTCTGTTAAAACGGAAGTAATGTGTTATCATCATAATTATGTCTTATTGTTTGCTGTTATGTAAAGATAACAAATCAGGGCTGAGTCACAGGAGCAAATGCAAAAATTGCATTTTTAAAAGAATAAGGTCACAGGCCACATGATTTGTTGCAGAACAAGCACAATAATTAATTGGCCTCTCCCTGCAATAGTAGCACAGGCATCTTAACTACAGGAGAACCAGGAAATGGAAAACAGCAGTGTGCAGAGGTGCAGGAGGACCGTTGGTATTATTCTGGGGCTTACAGTGAGCTCTAATAAGAAATAAAAATGTCACTGGTAGAGAGAGGAGAAAGGCAATATCTTTAGAATTGCTGCTTCGACAATGCCAGTGTTTATTTCCTATTGTTTAAAGATCTTTACTGTGGGAAATGTGGAAAACATATATTTTAGAAAATCATTTGAAGTTTATTTTTCTTTACATGCTCCAAAGGGAGAGATTACATGCAGAGTGTGGAACAGAGAAAGCTTTTTGGAATTTGTGCTACTTTTTTTATTTCTCTGAGACAGTCGTAGACCAGGAGCAGCCCAGTGAATGCACACACGTGCCTTTTGTGCAGGCGTTTTCTCCACTGCATTGGTTAGGGAAAAGATCTTAGAAAACCTGCCCAATCATGTACAATCACTTCCAAAGCCTTACCCTGATAGTCCTGTCATCAATGAAGAAATGCAGCACTGGACTCTCCTGTTCCTCTTCTGACGTCCCCTTCACTAGCACTGCTTGGTTGATAGTTTCGGCTCGCTGCCATGTGAATCCTGTCTGGGACAGACGTTTTCAGGGTGTGCACAGATTTGTAAGGGACTTACGCAGTTCACTAGCAATAGAAATCAATGGTTAGGTTGGAAAAAAAAGTTATTTTAAATATCCACATGTATCTTGTCAATTTGGGTTTGGTGACCTTTTGTAATCCAGCACTGTTGAGCTGAAAACAAAGGGAGGAAAATCCAGGAGTTCCCCCTTCTCTGGTATTTGAAGCACAGAAACATGACTGGATGTAAATGACTTCTGTTCGTGTCTGAAGCTTGTAGGCTGGAGATCGTGGCTCAGCTGCCTTTCTGCACTGCTTTTGACCACACTGCCATCCTCCAGCTTCCCCAGAATTTAAGACTGTGCCTTTTTATCTACAGCAGTATTTTCCCCGCAGATTTTAATAATTAATTGGGACAAGCCTGGTGGGTCTGGAGATGAGCACAAAAGAGGCAGCAGATCCGTGTGACCAAGTGACCTTTTGCTGTCCTGCCAGTCCCTGTGCTCTCCTGTGCTCAAAGGGATGCTGTCAAAATTGCTAGCCCTTAAAGCTGTAACTTGCTCTGACAACTTGTTCTACATTATAAGTCTTACCTAAAAGATTACCACAATTGTTTTGTTTGTTTTGTTTCAGCAGTCTTTGCTGAAGGCTCCGCAATGTAGATTCGTTTGTCTTTTTAGGTAGGTAGATATTTTTAAGCACCCAACTTCCTCTCTGGCCTGTTAAAATCAAGCTGGTGTGCATGTTATTGTGCACAGCAGAGGCTGCCAGGGATGGTACACATTTTCTGCTCTCTGGAAACAGAGGCAGTGGCACACTGTGGAAGCCTTTGTTTAAAAGGTTTTTAGAAGCCATTTTGAAGGGCCTGCAGTTATTTTGGGGCAGCATTAAGTGTTGCCTGGACTTTCCTGGCAATATTAAGAATTAGGTACTGGTCTGTTAAGTGTAAGGAGGGGATGTCCAGATGATGTCCATGTTTCAGGTCAGTTTGAGTTATTCCTTAGGAATTAGTTCTCCAAGAACTCCATTTAATGCTGTTCAGCATGAAAATGTGAATCAGGGCAAGTAGTCCAGGTACATTTGTAGCATCACACTTCCTTATTTTTACACAGCAATACAGAGATGGACGCAACTCCAGTGTAATTGTGAGTAGTGCTCAGCCATGCTGGCATCATGCAGCAGGAGCACGAATGGCCATATCTAGCAGGGAAGAGGGAATGAACAGTGTCCACCTACCACACTCCAGGTAACTCACACCACCAGTTTTAAGCTTGATTTGAGCACTTTTACCACTTCCTGTCTGAAATTCTTTACCTTGTTCCAATTGCACCTGTATCACCTGCACTTGAGATGCTCTCGGTGCCTCTACAGCACCCTCCTCAGAAGCACACTGCAGAGGCAGCAGCAGTGCCCAGAGCACATCACTCCCACCCTGCAGCAGCAGAGCTGCTAGGAAGGCACTGTGTCAAGCCTTAGCCCCACAAGCAGCAAGGTCAGAGCCCCTTTAAAGGTGACCTGGGATAGAAGGGAGTGCATTTGTCCCTTTCTGATGGATAAAAAGACCTAAAAAAATCCGTTCTTCCTATGTTTTTCCATCTTTGTTTCTGCTGAAGGTCTGTGGCATCTCTTTAACTTCCAGAAAGATTTTTGAACTGAGCTGAAGGGGATGATTTTCTAGTCATTTTCTAACGTTACAGGTCTTGATTCTCTCCATTCAGCGCTCTCCCACGTGCAGTCATCCTAAATGGAAGTTAGGTATGAACCTAACTTGAACAAGTTCTTGTAGAGCGTGTTCTGGAGCAATGCTCCACCTCCAGGGGGTCCAAACCCCCCTTGTTCATCAAGCTCTGTAACCTTTCAGCCAGCATACATGGATGTTCTGAGCAGATGCAGAGCACTGTGATGCACACAGGAAATGATTCTTTTGGCTGCAAACTGTGAATGCAAGGGCTGGTTTCACTTTCACTCTGGAGATGGCATGGGGTTGGTAACACTTTTTATCTCTAACTGGGGGGTTGGACTCAATGATCTCTGGAGGTCCCTTCCAACCCCTACAATTCTGTGATTCTGTGATTCTGTGAAAACCTTTCTCTACATACAGTAAAATAGGAAGTTATGCTCTTCTCAATACAGTTTTCCACCTCTAACTTCTTTTGGGATTTCTTGTTCTGGAAAAAGTGTTTCAGGGCTGACTGGAGATATTGTAAGCATAGCCTGAGTAAGAATTACTACCTGATGTTTTTTCTCTGCTACTTTCTGCCAGTGTGAAATGAGAGGTTGCAATCTAGGGGAACAAGGAGCTGTGATGGCATTGCACTGCTCTGCTGCAGTGGCTGCCATCGTTACATCCCTGTGCAGGCACTCCTACACCATTACCCATTGCTGCGCTGCGTTCCATGGTGTATCAGTGCCTGTGGGCTGTGTGCCTCAGAGCAAGGCTGTGCTTAGCAGAGAGCTGTGGCCTCTGCTGGTGGCCTCCTCTGGCAATGTCCTCCCAGCACTGGAAAGGTACAAGAAGAAACCTGCTGTTATTCAGACTGAATGCTGTTGAATTTAAGGGATGAGTTCAGTAGAGAAAGCTAAAAGGTTTTTAATCTCTTGGGGCAAAATATGTATACATGTTGCCAACTTTCTAAAAACGTTTTCTCCTGGAAGTGATGGCTGAAGCGCAGATCTGGCAGGAGGTAAAAGGGGAGGAAATGGCAGCAGAAACCCAGCGTTTGCTGTATTGTAGGACGGACCGGGAAGACAGCGAACAGGCGTGCATTGGTGGTTCAGTGGTAGAATTCTCGCCTGCCACGCGGGAGGCCCGGGTTCGATTCCCGGCCAATGCAGCGGAAACGTTTTGTTTTCTCTCTGTCATTTTTCTCTTCCCTTGCAAAGCTTTATTTATTTACTCGTTTGTCTTTCATTTCGACAAAAAGCAGTTCGCTTTTTAGGGCCGGAGAAGCTGAAGCTGCAGCTTTTGCTGTCCCGGCTTCCCCGAGGACTCGCCTGAAGCGCACAGCGGTGCTGCGGGGCAGTGCCGCACCAATCGCCGCGGCGGGAGCGTCCCGCAGCTGGGGAGAGAGGAAAAAAAAGCAGCATTCGAAGCGAAAAGAAGCCGCTGGAGATGCCGGGGATTGAACCCGGGACCTCACACATGCGAAGCGCGCGCTCTACCACTGAGCTACATCCCCGGCTATGGGGGAAGTCCTGCGGGGCGCTATGAGAGTGCGGGCCGCTGCGCGGGGGCCGAGCCCAGCCCGGAGCATCGCGCTGCGGCCAGCTCAGCCCCTCGAGCCGGCCCCGCTCGCCCCTCCCTGTCCCCGGGCTTCCTGGCACAGCCCCGCCGCCCAGCTCCGTGCCCACGCCCCGAGGGCCGGCCGCCCTCCTACTGCTGGTGCCCCGTGGGGGCTCCCGACTGGTGCTGTCCTCGGGGATCCGGGCTGTTGGCCAAAACGTTCCGCTGTTTGCTGGGCGGTGCGTTCCGACCTGCTCCCCTTCGTGCTGCCTGCAGTGGTCCCGTGTGTTAGTGCACGCATCTCTGTCAGCATGTCTTGTCTCAGACTTCCCATACAGGGTGCTCCCTCACCCTTACCTTAGAGTTGTTCTGCCACATGTTAGTATGACGCTTCCTATGTCCAAGTTTTAGGCCATCGCTCCTTGTCCTGTCGCTACATACCACCAAGAAGAGCCTGGCCTCATCTTTTTGCCTCCCACCTCCCTTTAGATATTCATTAACATTAACCAGATCCCATCTCAGCCTCCTTTGCCCCAGGCTGAACAGCCCCAGGTCTCTCAGCCTTTCCTCACAAGGAAGATGCTCCAGGCCTTCTGTTGTCTTTGTGGCCCTCCGCTGGACTCCTTCCAGGAGATCCCTGTCTTTTCCCCCACGTTACACAAAGAAGATCTGATGTGCAGTTGGTATTAAAGCACAGCAACGTCTCTACTGTAGCTAGATCTAAATATCCTCCAGAGCACCACCCACCAAATGCAACATCAATCGAATTATTCAGGAAAGGCTCGACGTGAGCATCCTACACGAGGAAATAAGACGCCTTGCGCTGAGCTATAAAGTAAAACAGAAGGAGTCCTTTATGGACGTGAATCTCCTCAAGCCTACCAGCACTGCCAGCAGTGCCCCCGCACAGCCCTGCCTGCCGACAGCTGCCTGCAGCCCCTGCTTCCAGGAAACACTTGGTCATCCCGTGCGGTTTCTAATTCTGCTGGGTGCCCTGGCACGGGCCCAGCATTCAGCTCTCTCAAGGGCCCTCTCATAGCACTACATTCACCTCTTTGTGTTTGGGTTTCTTTGCTGACATCAGGGAAAAACAATGTCGCCGTTCTCAGCCATCCCTCCGCTCGCTCCTCAGTGGCATTAACTCGTTCCTGTAGCCCAGTGCCATGTGTGGCAGGACCTGCCTCGTCCCGCAGGATCCCATTTCATTGCATCTGTTTGCAATTCTGCATTTTCCATCAATCCCTGTTAGACACACATTGACATTCACTCTGTATTTCCTGCAGCCATTTTTCCCCTGATGGAGCTGATGGACCCCTCTGATTCAGCCCAAAAAAAGCTCAGTTCCAAAGTTACCTCAAGCTCAGGCTGCTCGAGTGACTGCAACACAACTGTGGGAGAGGGGCGGTTCTTTCTGGTGCAGTTCCCAATGACTGCACTTGCTCCCAGGATCAAATGTTTGCACTCAGAAGTCCTTTTTGAAATAGACACATTGGTTCAGTGAAAGACAGGGCTAAAATGCAGCAGCATAAGACAAACATACGAACGGTGCTCATCTCATTGTTGCTGTTTGCCATCCCCATCCATTACTCCATACCATTGCAGACTGGCCAGGCCCAAACAAGCTCTGAGGATGTGCCTTCCTCCCGTATGACTGGGAACCAAAGCACTGTGTGCACTGCCTCCTGGAAGCCTTGAGCTACTGCTAGATGCTGTGCTACTGGCACCAGGCATTGATAAATATGCAGCTAACGTTATTTTTCTTCTACCATATGATCACACTGTCCACTCGTTTTCAAGCACTCGGGTGATTATTCACGGATCTCTTGCATTATTGATGCCTTATTTAGCATTCCTGTCCTCCTGCAGAAAACACTCCGTCAGAGATCAGAAAGATGTAACCGAAGTGACAAATTTCAGGGCTCAAGAACACTGCCTGCGTACTTATGGCACTCACCAAACCATCTTTCGATAATAAATGTGTTGGGAAAAATAAATGAGGACAGATTTGTGATTTGCTGTTAAACAGCTACAAAATTTTCCAACTTTTGCACTTGGCAAATAGTTCCTACCTGATCGGAGAACGCAGTGCTCAGAGCTGCACTCAGGCAGTTCTGCACGTGTGCTAGGCTGGCTGTCAATGAAGTCGCACTCATCATTCCTCCAAATACAAATCACTTTTTCTCCTTTATTTTTATAGCTTTTCTTTTTGTTAAGTCCCTTATTTGTTGCGGTGGACTGCCTGAAATAGAGGAATTCCATTTCAGGAGCTCTGTTGTTGGTCTCCAGGCATTCAGTATGTGCCACAGAATCTACGTGCTCACCTGGCTTTGGTTATTCACACTGAATAGCAGGAACTATGAAAGTTAGAGTGGAAAAAAGGAGATTAAAAGGCAGAAAATGGGATTAAAGCTGCGAGCTGGGAGATTCATTGGGGTTGTAGACAGAGAAGTGATAGCGCCACAGAAATTATTTGGCTGACAAATTAATTACCCAGTGTTACAGTGGTTTTCTCATCTGAATTCAGCCCTTCAGCGAGAGGAACCTCAGCTGTTCTCCAGTATAGTCAGAGGGGGATGTGAGCAGTCCAGGATCTGAAGCAAACAGGAACTGGTTGTAAAGCTCAGACGGATGGGCTGCACCAAGCACACACCTTTGCACAGATCATCAAGCTGATGCATCCAGACAGCTAAAGGCTGCTCCAGCTCACAGTGCTGCCTGAGAGGCTGGGACAGAGGCTGCTCTGTCAGCCAGCGTGGCACGGCCCTTCATGTTCTGTGCAGGGAATGTCCAACTACAACACCCTGGAAAATACCACAGCCCTGCAAAAGTGCACCGCTGTTGTTATGGTTGAGCACTGACCCCTCCTAGGAGCCTTCTCACTCCATGACCGCAGTTCTCGCTCTGTCCCAGCATGCAGAAGCAGAACATGGAAGAAAAAAAAAAAAAGTATTTGTTTCGGTTTGTTTAATAAGTGTCATGTTTTTAAGGAGGAGATAGTCTGAATTTCTTCTTGGAACTAGAGTTCTTTGTTGTTCCTGGAGGTTTGGAAACGTAGATATGTGTCTCCATTGAATCCCATCACCTTCTGCTGGTAAGTAGCACACAACCCGCTCACACAGCCAACCTGAGCCACGATATCATTACAAGCATTAGCTAAGGCCTTTTCTGGTGATCTGGCATTGCACAGCAAGAAGGCAAAGCTCCTGTTCATCATCTGAGGTCAAACATCACTCCGAGTTCAGACGGCTGCAGAGCACTGCAGCTTCCTGCGCTCCATGGTCTCAGCATGGGAATCTCTTGCTTTTCTCTTCCTCCTGTTCTTCAGCTTGTGCCTGGAATCCAGAACAGAATTACTGCTATTATTATGGCTTTCAGAAAAAAGTGGAGGAGGTAAATATCTTGGGAGTAAATCGCTTTTAAAATTGAGGTGTGTAGGTCTTTAAGCTCATAAAATTGTGCAGTCAAACTGACCTGGAGATGTAGCCTCGTATTAACAACGCTCCTTTTGCACTTCATAATGATTGTTCATCACTGCTGATTGCAGCAGCCAACAATTTCTTCGGCGTGTGATGCTGACTTTAAATATCACTAAAAGCTTTGATTCCTGCATGGACAGAAAATGATGCTCAGCTGACGGTGGGTCTCTGCCCCACACCCCTCTCTGCTCTCCCATCCCACTGCCAGGCAGCCCAGAGTGCAGCACGGGACCCTAAAAATAACTGCAGAAAAGCAACATCCACTGGCAGACAAGGAGCTGCTGATTGAACTGAGCAAAGCAGAAGTCTCATTGGCAGTGGATGTGAGGAGCAGGGATGTGAGAGTGGGAGCTGCTGGGACGGAGCTGACTGCTGCTGCCAAGTGAGCACGCTGCCATCGGGGATGGGGTGCATTGGGCTGCTGTTAATCCCATGGCAGAGCAGTGTGTCAAAGCAGTTCTCTGAAGTTACGTTCCCCGTCCCGGTGTGATGCTAAAATTACACGGAAAGTTGTAACAGAAAAAAATATTGAGACCTCGAAGTCAGACAAGAAGGAGTATTTTTCACTTCAGAGCTCCAATGAGATAAATTAGTGATAATAGCGAGATCTGAAAGCAGCATCTCATAGCTCTGAAATTCAGGCACCTGCTACAAAAAGGGCTTAGGAAGGATGGAGTGCACAGACCAGCTCTGCTCAGGAGATCAGAGTGCGTGCACTGCCACGTTCAACCCAGCACACAGCCCGGGTTTGGCTGCTGGGCCTCCCTGCAGCAATGGAAAGGAGCTGCGACAGCGACACCCAGCCCTGCACCAGGACACCCAAAAAGCAGCCACGCGTCGTGCACAGCACTGTGGGACCCTCCACGAGGAGGGAGACCTGCAGGACACACAGCCCGGGCTGCAGGTGGTGGTCATCAGGTGTGGGCTTTGCTGCTCTTTGAGGATGGCTAATTGTGTTTTACTCGGTAATCAGAGGCTCTTACGGCAATTTTCCCCCTTCATCTTACCTTCCCAGACTCACCTGATTTAGATGCCACTCGTAATTAAGCACGCTATTAATAACAGCACTTGACTCAGGCCTCGAGCTGAAGGTATTTTCCAATTTTCCTCCGATTCCTTCATCAAAGTGACTCCCAGGAGCTGATGGGTGCACAGATAACAGAGGAGGGCAGCCCTGTATGTGCCAAACACTGACAAGGTCTCAACAAAAACGCTCTGATCCCATCCACAGTCACTCCCTGTGCCTTCTCCCTTCGCACCATTCTGCACCCTGCATCCCTCCCCTCCAAAATCCACGTTTTTGGCTGTGCTGCTCACAGAGCCCTGTGGCATCCCCCATCCCTGCAATGATGCTTATGATGGGGGCAGGTGCTTTCTTCTGTGATTGTTTTTTAGATAGCAGCATATCCAGTCTTCACCATCGATACATTAATAGGAACCTGGTCCATGGACTTGCCACTGGGAAGTATGGATAATTTAATAGGGATTTGACTAAAGGAAGAATCGATTCATTTTTTTTTCAATGCTATCTTGGATTGGAATGCTGTGCTCTGCAAACTAATATATTTCTTCCTGCTTATCCCATCAATACGGGCTGATTTTGCTGGCTGTTGCATGGACCAAGCGAGTAAATATGCAATCTAGATTTTTTACAACGCTTTTTATAATTAAAGTTCTGCCATCCAAAAAAAAAAAAACCAACTTCTTTTTACCTGCTAGTAACAGTCACAGCGTCCCATTTCCACTTCAGTTTTGAGCTACGATTTTCATATTGAAGAACCAGAGCCCATTCAGTTAGACCTGCAGAAAGACAAACGCCACCAGCCTGCCCCTGTCCCACATGCAGGCCACCAGCGTGGGCAGAATCCATCACTGGGGAGGGCTGGGGCTGCTCTCAGTGCTGGGGTAGAGCGGAATCAGTGCAAACCAGCTCCCTATGGCAGCCTTTAAAAGCGATAAAGGAGCTTCATTTTCAGCTTGGACTTCCTTTTTTCCGAAGCATTGGAAATATTTAACTTCTTATACAGCTCCTTCATACCCCATGCTAGAATCGGGAGGTCTAAAAAGCAAAATGATATTTTAATAGCGGCGTTCATAATTACAAACACCATTCTCCACACCAGCACTGTTTTCAATTAGCGAGCTGTGTGGATGGCTCTGCTCTCCCTGCCCTGTGCCTCCAACAGATGCTGCAGGCGCACAGATGAGGAGCTGCACTCTCACTGCTGCACAGCTCCTCGGTGCCTGTGCCACCATCCACGGCAACTCAGTGGTTCAATGCAGGTCCCAGGGACCTCGTGAAAAGTACCCCCAAACTGTGGGAAGGGGCTCGCTTAAGGAAAGAAGTTAATGACACCAGATTTCTGTGGGTGTTGGCAGTTAATACTCATAACGCAGGGAAAAAAAAAAAAAAAAGAAGAAAAAAAACCCAACAATGTGTAATTGTGCTATTTTAGAGCACTTGTGACATAAACACATCCCCCAAGTGCTGTTATTCTTGGTTTCCCAGGGCTGCAGAACAGCGGGTGGCTGTCAGCGTGCACCGCAGCCCCACATCCCGTGTGCCAAGCAGGCCTGAGGGATGGGAACACGGGGCAGCAGGCAGCTGGGCTGGGACACGAGGTGTGGGGATCTCACTGGCTGCTGGCTCTGTCCCCAGGCTGCCTGGGAGCCCAGCTTGGTGGTGCCCAAATGCACCGAGCAGCTCAGTCAGGGTCTGCACGCAGCTCTGTGGCCTGCACACGTCAATGTGGGGAGAGAAGAGCCATTGCACTGCTGTGTGCTACTGGAAGCAAAGAAAGTTGTAGAGCTGAGCGCTGCAGCTGTCACTTCGGTGTCTCCTGCTGTATAGCTGGGCAGGCATTCAGTGCCAACAGCAGTGTGGGAGCCGGGATGCAGCAGCAGGGAGCTGTGTGAGTCCCTGCAGTGCAGTCACCACTTCGGGCATTTCCAACCCTTTCAGGAAGTCTCTGCCACGATAAAAACCCAAACTACGTATGTGCTATAGCAGGGACGTGGGCGGCTGTTCCAGCACACAGACGCGTGCTTTATGTAAGAAAACTCCCCGGGCCCCCCAGCCCGCCGACTTTCCGGAGGACGCGAACCGGAGCCGCGCCGCCGCCGCCGCCTGCGGGGATCGCCGCGGGTCGGGCCGGGCCGCGCGCCCCCCGCTCTGCGCGCTCCCGACGCTCCGCACGCAGCTCCGCTCCCGACGCGCCCCGCGGGGCCGCGCCGCCCCCCTCCCCCCGGCCGTGTTGCTCCCTCCGTCGGGAAGCAGCGCTCGGTTCGGGCGGAGCGCCCCGCACAGCTGCATTTCTGGGAGTGCAGATGTTGCTAACGGCAGCTTAAGGCACGGATGGGCAGAGAGCAGATGGGCTGCGGCGGTGCCATATGGGCCGTTTAGCCTCTCGACCCGACGGGTATCAATCACGCGCGTCCCGGGGACGGCGGTGCGGCTCCGAGCGGCTGAGGAGCACCGGGGATCACCGCCAGCCCCCGGACCGGGCAGCGGGGGATGCGAACGGACCGCGCTACCGTGCCGAGAGAGCAGAGCCGGCAGTCAGCACCGAGCCGCCCGTGTGAGGGCCGGGCCCCGACAGCTGCCGAGCAGGCAGCCCACGGCTTCTCGTCCTGAAATACGGAAAACGGCGTTCTGGAGCCCGGAATAACCGGATAGCAGTGAGAACAGAACCGCGTGGCTGTGGGAAGCAGTCAGGGTGGTGTCAGGGGAGGGTCCGGGCAGGGAAGGACAAATGATGCTCGTTCAGAAACGTAGGGAAGTCTGAGGGCGGGGCTCCTCGTGCAAATCAGTGCGGAATGAGGCACCCAAGTTCGGGTTCCCCACCCCCGACGTTGTGCCACACTTGGGCCCCACGGCTACCAGCACCACTGGGCTCCTGTGCTCCTTCAGCTCCTGCACCGCAATGCTCTTTTGGGCCTGGGGAGTTCACGGATTCATAGAACGGCCTGTGTTGAAAAGGAGCACAATGCTCATCCAGTTCCAACCCCCTGCTGTGTGCAGGTCGCCAACCAGCAGCCCAGGCTGCCCAGAGCCACATCCAGCCTGGCCTTGAATGCCTGCAGGGATGGGGAACGTTCACCCCTTGCTGTATCGCGCGCAGCAATCCCATCCATCTCTGTGCTCCGATCAAACACACAACCACTGGGCCAGGCCTCCACACGGGTATTCTCCAAAACCCAGCCCTGGCACTGCTGTGATGCACTCATCCTGGTGGGCTGCACACCAGCACTGGCTGGCAGCAGGTGACGCCCTTTGGGGTCACGGCATTTTGGCTTTGCAGCGTATGCAGGTTTAGCCCTTCCGTGTCTGAGCAGAACAGCTCAGCACTGCATCTCTGCAACCACCCGTGGGAGTGGCGATGGCACAGGGCTGCACACACAGCATGTGCACACGTGGATGCCCGTGTGTGCTGTGCCCGTGTGTGCCCATGTGTGCCCATATGTGCCCATGTGTGCCCACGTGTCCCCAGGCAGCCCAGCTGCAGCCCTCACACTGGGTACACCGGGCACTGGGTTACACACTGGGCAGAGCAGCAGAGAAACAGGGACTAACAGCACTTTGTGTCTGATGCTTTGGGGGAAGAGCGATGCTTTTTAATTAAACGTCTCCTTTGTGCTCTCGTATTTAGGTACCGAAATACGGCATTTCGCCACATGTATGAAATTGTGTTTGCATTTATTTAATTTGGAGTCCTTTTTTAAAGGCTTGGAGTCTCGAATGTTTGTTCTCCATTTTTTTCACATCATTACTCTGATACTGCTTGATTAGCTCCCTCCCCAGTCATGATTGGTAATTAAAATAGGCATTAAAATTAGTCACTTAGCAATTTTGCTGTTCAATTGGCAATTAAATTACTTAATTGCAATTAAAGTCCTAATTTTAATTGGCAAAATGATAGATGTAGATTTAAGATAATATGTATAAATACTTTAATAAGTGTCTATATAAGGATTACTTAATTACTCAACTTCAAGTTTATGCTGTTAACTTCAGAACTTTTAAGTGAGTAATGAAATTTATATCACATCTATTCTAAGGATATGGTAATGAGGTGCATCTCTGGGCCCTGAGCAGGGTTTGCTCCACGCAGGTCGGATGGCAGCGCGGTGCTGCACGGCACCGCGTGCTGCTGTGCTGTTATGGGCTCTCTTTTCTCATCTTCATCAGCTCGTAGATTCACAGAACCACACAACTGTGGAATCAGAAGGGTTGGAGAAGACCTCTAGGATCCCAACCCCACTCACCCTCCCATGCCCACTACCCACATCTCTCACTGCCACATCCCCACGGCTCTGGGACACCCCCAGAGTTGGTGACTCCCACTCCATGGGCAGCTGAGCCACTGCCTGGCTGCTCTTTGCAGAAGGAATGCTTCCTAATACCCAACCTGACCCCGGCACAACGTGAGGCCGTCCCATCCCGTCCTATCGCTGCTGCCTGGTGCAGAGGGACAACCTCCTTTTGGAGAGCGCGCCTTCTCCCAGCCCTCGGGAAAAGCCTTTGGGCTGCAGACACGGGCTGAGCCGCTCAGGGCCCTATGGGAGAGCACCCGCCAGACGTACGGCATCACCGGGCAGGTGCCTTCTCTTTGCTGCACGAAGCGATCGCATCTCTGGTTGTCGTTGTATTTTTCCCCCCAAGTCCCGTTCATTTCGAGCCGAGGCCGCTCCCCGCCCGCAGCCTGGGCACCCCGTGCCTCGTGCCGGGCCGCTCCGCGGTTCCCCCGCCCCTCCCGTCCCGCGGTCCGATCCCGTCGGAGCTCCGGGCTATTTCGGGCGCTTTTGGCGCGCCGCGCGGTTGCGTCAATGGCGGCGCCGCTGCGTCACGGCCGCCCCGCCCCGCCCCGCCCCGCGCTCACTTTTTCCCTTTCGCCCGCGGGTGACGCCGCCGCGCTCCATGCAAATGAGGCGGCGCTCATGCAAATGAGGCCCCGCCCCTCCCCGCCCCGCTTAAGGTGCCGTCGCCGACGGGGCGGGCGGGGATCCCCGGGCGCGCCCCCGCGGCCCGCCCCGCCCAGAATCTGGCGGGGGAGCTCCGCGGCGGGCACGCGGAGCGCCGGGGACGGCGGCGGCGGCCGCGCACCCCGAGCGAGGCACGGCGCGCCCCGCGCGGAACCACCGACGGCGGCCACGGGGAGAGGGGCGGGGAGCGGGGGGCGGCCGCGGGGCGACGCGGGGCGGCCCGAGCCCACCTTAAACCGTGACTCGCGGTGATGTCACGTCGGAAATTTACCAAAGCGAGCGCTGGCCAACGGCGCGGGGCGGCCGGCCCCGGCGGGCTGATTGGGCGGGCGGCGCTGACGCGCGGTGACGCTCGAAGCCTTTAGGTGCACGTTGGCTGGGAACGCGGAGCGCACATAAACAAAGGCACATTGCGGGAAGGGCACTCCGAGCGCTCCGCTCGCACGGCGCTGCGCTGCCGCCGCCGCCGCTCCCGCACGGAGTCCCGCCGTGCCCGGCCGTGTCCCGCCGTGCCGAGCCGTGCCGGCCCCGCGCCCACCGCCGCCCGCCACTTGGATGCCCGCTCCGCTCTCCGCTCTCCGGTGAGTCCCGTGACGCCGTGCATCCCGTGCCCGGGCGCTGCCCGCGGGGTTCCGCGCGTGGGGCGCGGCCGCCGTCGGGGGATGCGCGGGGAGGCGGCGGCGGGGCCGTTCTCGGCGCGTGTCCCGCTCGGGCGAGGCCGGGCGGCTCCGAGGGGTCCCGGCCGGGCGCGGGCCGGGAGCGGCTCGCCCGGTTTGAGGCTGCGCTTTCCGTCGGCTTCGAATGAATCCGGGCTCGCTGTCGGCCGTACCCCCTCGGGCTGGGCTCCAAATGTCACCGCGGCGCCGGGACCTCGGGGAGGTGCGGCCGCCCCCGCTCCTCGCCTCTCCCGGCGGGGCGGCTCTGACGTGAGCGGCGGGGAGGAAAAACCGAAGCGGTTCCCTCTGCCAGAAAAGCGAGGGCAGAGCCGCCCGCGTGCGCGGAGTTTCCCCCCGACCCCCGTCCCCGCCGCGCCCACGCGCGGCGTCCGCAGCCGCTGGAGCCGTTCCCGCAGCCGGGGCCGGGCGGGGGGAAGGGAAGGGGGTCGGCGCTGCTCTCTTTCGGTGCCCGCGACCGGAACGCCCGCGAGCGGCTGACGGGCGGCTCCGCGCGTGTGTTGCAGCGGGCGCACCGGGCAGGCTGGAGTCCCCCTCCGAGCGCTGACACCGCGGAAACTTCGCTCCCCGCCGCGTCCCGACGCTGTCCGTCTTTAGTTCCCTCGAAAACGCCTCCAACTCGCCTGAAGGTTTGTGAGCTCCGCGAGCCCGAGCGGCGGTGCGGGGCGGGGGTGGCGCCGCGGGGCCGGGATCCCGCAGCCGGGCTGGGGTCCCTCAGCCCCCGCCGTCCCGGGCGTCGCCGGCGCTGGGAGCGGGGCGGGGGAGCGGCGCGGGGCCGGCGGAGGGCGCGGAGCCGCCCGGGCTGAGTGTGTGTCCCCGTTTCGTTTCCAGCCATGCCCTGTGTTCAGGCTCAGTATGGGTCCTCGCCTCAAGGAGCCAGCCCGGCCTCCCAGAGCTACAGTTACCACTCTTCAGGAGAATACAGCTCCGATTTCTTAACTCCGGAGTTTGTCAAGTTTAGCATGGACCTCACCAACACTGAAATCACTGCCACCACTTCTCTCCCCAGTTTCAGTACCTTTATGGACAACTACAACAGCAGCTACGACGTGAAGCCTCCTTGCTTGTACCAAATGCCCCTGTCCGGACAGCAGTCCTCCATTAAGGTGGAAGACATTCAGATGCACGGCTACCAGCAGCACGGCCACCTGCCCCCCCAGCCCGACGACGTGATGGCCCATTCGGGCTCCGTCTACTACAAGCCCTCGTCGCCCCCGACCCCTTCCACGCCCAGCTTTCAGGTGCAGCACGGCCCCGTGTGGGACGACGCCGGCTCCCTGCACAACTTCCACCCCAACTACGTGGCCACCACGCACATGATCGAGCAGCGCAAAGCGCCCGTCTCCCGCCTCTCGCTCTTTTCCTTCAAGCAGTCCCCCCCCGGCACTCCCGTCTCCAGCTGCCAGATGCGTTTCGACGGACCCCTCCACGTGCCCATGAACGCGGAGCCGGCCGGCCCCCACCACGGCGTGGACGGGCAGCCCTTCGCCGTGCCCAGCCCCATCCGCAAGCAGCCTCCCATGGCCTTCCCCGGGCTGCCGCTGGGCCACGCGCCGCAGCTGCTGGACAGCCAGGTGCCCTCGCCGCCCTCGCGAGGGTCCCCGTCCAACGAGGGGCTCTGCGCCGTCTGCGGGGACAACGCTGCCTGCCAGCACTACGGCGTGCGCACCTGCGAGGGCTGCAAGGGCTTCTTCAAGGTGAGCGGGGCTGGGGGGGGCGAAGGGGTCGGGGCAGAGCGGAGCGGAATTCCCCGCGGCGGAGCGAAAGGATCTCTTTATTTCGGCGTCCTGATTGAATAATCGGATCGTTTGGAATGGAGAAGGTCTCCAAGGGATGTGAATAGTATGAGTGCCCACGGATGTGTATTTGCCAAGCGCCTCCGTCCCTTCTCTCGGCATATAAAGCGCTGTGGGGTTAGCTCAGATGTTAACGCTGTCAATATTCTGTTGTTAAATGCCCTGGGAAAAAAAGAAAGGGAGAAAGGGGGGGGGGGGGGGGGGGCGGAGGGGCTTGGCAAATACACATCCGTGGGCACTCATACTATTCACATCCCTT